TTTCTGTTGTTAAGTGAACTTTTCCTCATTTTATGACCTTTCTTGCCACAGTTATTAAGTGAATAACTGCAGCTGTTAATTAGTTAAGCGGTTGTTAAGCGAATCTAGCTTGACTATGCTTGTCAGTCATAAAAGGAGCAAATCAAATAGTCCTCATGTATTGACACTGCAACTGTCGTAAATATAAGTCAGTTGCCAAGCATATGGATTTTGATCACTTGGCCATGAGGATGCTGCAATGTTTATAAGTGTGAAAAACAGTCATAAGTCCCTTTTTTCATCGCCACTGTAACTTTGAGCAGATACTAAATGAACTGTTGTTAAGTCAAGGACTAACTGCACAACTAAAATCGGCAAGCTTAGCATACACATCTCCACCTTACTTGAAAAATGTAATGTGAAAGCCTGAATTCATGAGAGTCATGATTTATAGTCAAAGGTGTCTTCAGAGAAAAGGGGATGAAAAAAAAGTCAATGTGGCAACCATGTCCATGTGAGCAAGTCCCACCTTCTGTACAAAGGAGCAGGGCTTCAGTCATGTGATCAATTTATTTACACCCTGCAGCCATTGTGGACATGGAGATGAATATGAGCCTATCTAATAACAAGCATGACACATGAAAGATTGTGCTATGGAATCCAAGACAGGAAAAAGAACAAGGAGCATGAATTAACAAGTGAAATAAAACCGGAAAAAATATATATATACAAGTCTTGTGAAACTAAGAAAAAGGAGAAATCATGTAAACAAATCTGGACCAAAATCATCAGATCTTGTAGAATGGCATTGAGTTGATGTCTGCCCAGAAATGAAAGTGTACAGGTAGCTTTGAACAAATGCAGGTATACGTGATGGTTACAAGAGTGATGAGAGGTTCTGAATGGGTCAAAACGTGTGTGGATAGAATTAACAGTAAAATTTGAGAAAAATGGACGTGAAAGAAAAAGGAAAAAGTTAAAGGAATAAGACTTCTGAAAGAAATAGGGGTTAAATTAGATTGACTGAACAAAACAAAAAGAAAATATGAGCTATGTATAAAAAAGAAGATAAAATTTACAACAGAATGCATGGAAAGAGGACTTACGGAAGAAAGAAACAGAGCTGCTTGAATTGTAAAAAGAATTATATTGCATAGTACATTACATTTAATAGGAAATATGAAATAGAATAGTTGGTGGATTGATATAAAGCAAGAGGCTGTGGATAAAGAAAAAATGCATATAAGAATGCAATAAAAATGAATCTAAAAGATACTGTGCAAAAAAAAAGATAGTTATAAAAATATAGCTAAAGAGAGCAACGGATCGTTAAAATTAAAGTGGCAGAGATGTAAAAGGCAGTTTTGATAGATTTTTTTTAAAAAAATTGGAAGTGGGTGAGCAGCTCTCAACAGGGAGCCCTGCTGAACAGCAAAAGAAATTAACAGTAACAGTGATGAGATAATTTGGGCTGATGCTGAAGTAAGGAAATGCTGGAGTATTTTATTGATCTAAATGTGAACAACAGTAATATGAACAGTGGTATTGACATTAATGCTACTAAAATTAGTCTCCAAGAAAAAGTGATGAGAAAGAAACCATAAACGCAATTGAAATGTTGAAAGGCTCTTGGCATAAGCTATGATTGCAGTATAGCAATAGCACTTAGATTTATATAGCGCTTCATAGTGCTTTATAGCTAGGCAGTTTAGAGTCAGCATATTGCCCCCAACAATCTGGGTCCTCATTTTACTGACCTTGGAAGGATGGAAGGCTGAGTCAACCTTAAGTCTGGTGAGAATTGAACTTCTGAACTGCTGGCAGTCAGCAGAAGTAGCTTGTAGCAGTGTATTCTAACCACTGCACCACCACAGCTCTTTAGAAATACTAAAAACAGATGTGAGTCATTCATGGAGTGGCTGTGTGACTTGGTTAACATGTATGTGAAAACTGAAGATGTTTGACAAATGGAAGGATGTCATTATTGTTACCATTTTCAAAGAGAAAGGTAGCAAGGTGGAGTTGATTAAACATGAATAGAAAGCCTTAGCAGGACCAAATTACTGCTCTTCAGCAGATCACTGAGAAATATATAAATGTGAGAAAGAATTTGTATTTGTGTATGATAAACACAAAGGAACCAACTTGAATTATGGAATACTTTTGGTTAATACGGAATTGAATGTTGATCATGAATGTGATAAGAATGGTTTTTTTTTAAAAAAAAATTGTGTGTTCTGATCTAGGCTTTCCCAAAAAAACACGAAGCAGATTCCTGGCAAAACCCCTTTTATTAAAGGAATATGAATTCCTCCCATTCACATTAAGCAAAGCCCAGGTAAACAGTCTTTCAAAGGTGAATTTATGACCGCAGACTTTATCTAGTTTGCAAAGCTGCCATGTAAATATTTTCCGAAGGCAGTGTTGTGGAAGGAAAGACTTGGCACAGAGTCTCTGAGATTCACGGGCAGATCTTCACACTCCTGAAACGAATGAACAAATTGTTTCCTACAAAATCCCACTCCTCTTTCGCTGCTCTTTTATTTCCTATGGAAGGGGCCATTCACCGCCCACCTGTGGTTTTACTCCAAAGTCAACCCAGATTTCTGAGCTGTTCTTTTCCTCTGGCAGCTCTGAGCATGCACACACCAGGAACAGGCTCCAGCTCTTCCTTTGCCTCACTGCTGTCTAGCTCAAAAGGCAGCTGAGAACTGCCAGATGGCCTTGGCCCCATCTATGCCTCCGACTCAGAGCCCTCATCTGAGCCTTCCTCAGCCTCCAGGACTGCCCCCTGTTCCTCCCCAACCTCCTCACTGTCCGACTGTGCTGCCAGCTCCACTGGCTGCTGGAGGGTCACAACAGTGTGATTTATCCGTTGTATCAATCTAGCATGCGTAAGAATTAACGGGATGATTGAAGATGAACAGGAATAAAGGAAAGATGTTCCCTTGGTTCTTAATTTGTGGCCAGGTTAGATGGGTATTTGTTAAGGAAATGAATGAGTAGGTACTTTTGTATGCAGATGGTGTCATGTTGTTTGCTGAGAATCCAAATGATTTGCAGAGAGGTCAGTTGGAAGAGGCCATGAGGATTATATGCCTGAAGTTTGAGAGAACAATTGTTACACAGAAAGCAAAAAAGCAGAAAAAGTCGATGAATTTCTGTTTCTTGATAGAATGTATAACAAAGATGGGGAAAATGGATGAAGGAATATTCAGGTGCGCAAATGTTGACAGAAATGTAGAGAAAATTAACGAAGATCAAACTGCAAATATATATATATATAAACGAACGAAGAGTGAAGTAAAAAAAGAAAAAGACTGAAAGAGTCATGTTTAGATGGAATTGATGAGATCCTGAAAAAGAGAAAGTGAGAAGTTTAAAGAATAAAGGGCAATGTATGGAGTGATGGACAGATATGGTAGAAGCAAGGACAGTATGCAGGACAGAAAGATATGAAGAAGTATAACAAACAGTGTTTGTGTAAACTGATTTTATTGATGCTGCCTTTCCTTTTTTCATTTCACACCTTCAGTGTCTTTGACTTTATATTTCTTACTCCTTTTCTGTCTTTGCATAATGTTGTATAATCGAAAAGGAAATCGCTGATATGTATGCATCCAATATGAGAAGAATAAAAAGCAATGCAAACTATCAATCCATCATGACATTATTGTCCAATTTGAATTGGATGTGTCCAAACATGTTTCAGTCCAGCTGTGAATTAGCAGAGATACAGGACTTAAGATGAGACTTACTATTTTTTCCAATTCAGCCCATACTACCAAATGTCTAATTTTGGTGTGACAGTTATCGTCTTTTGACAGCTATTATTAGGGTAACTCAGATAACAGACGGAAAACAAAATCCCTTATTCTCAAAGAAACTTTAAGCACTTACTTAAAACACACTTCCCCCCAATGGCAAATCATCACTGACTCATGTTCTCCTAACACAATATATCAATCTAAATCCTTAAAAGAGTACACTGTCTCAATTCGCTTTCAGAACAAATAATGGCCAGGCAAGTCTGGCAGAAGATCAAATACATGAATATATTTGAATCATTTCTGGATTCCCCATGGCTCAAATATTATACAGAAAAAAACAAATTTTCTTAGGAGTATCATGGCATAGAGATACCAGCACTATTAACACAGGCAAATAATTGGTATATAACTTTCTATGAGACCCTTGCATATTTTCCTGTATCTCCACTTTGTAATGTTTCTACCTATGTTGTGCTTCCTCTAAGATGATTTCAGCAATGAATATACTGTATATATTCCTGATTGCATCATTTTGTTCCTTGTCAAATGCCTAAGATGCATTATTGCATTATTGGCTCTGAAAAAAAGGAATGTACTACAAGAATTCAAGACTGATCTAACAGATCTGAGGATAGAAATGCCACTGTTTCTCTGGGTTGATTATTGCATGTACATCGTTAATTTTGTCCACCACTAGCCAAAGAGAAAAGAGACATGCAGAGGCAGTCAGAACTGTTGGACAATATATCCCAGTTGAGATACAAAGGAGAAACTGGCAAAAAAGTGATTTTTCCTCACAATTAAAGCTTAAATGAAATCAATGCTCAGTAAAAGATAATGGAGAGTTGTAATTAACACATGCAAAATAGAAAGTGTGACAAATTAAAGTAAATGAGACCTCAGGTTTAGCTTTAACTCATTAACTCATAATTATATTGTTGTATGGGGGGCAAGGATAGTTGATGCGCCAAATATAGCCTCTCAACTATCAAACGACAACCCGGCCTTCACGTGGTGCCCCCTGTTCCCACCAATCGGGCTCTGTCAACCCTTGGGACTGGCGTCCCCTTGGGTATATCCAGCCGAAACAGCTTCCATGGATCGCCATAGGTTTCCATGGAAGTCGCCTATACCCACGTTGGGTGAAGAGGCGTCGAGTGAGTGATATTGTTGTATATGCTTTGGATTTCCCCCCTAATGCTCATCAAAAAAAGTCCTTCTCAAAGATGGAGATGTCAACTAAAAACTCACTTTTGCAGCCATTCTCCAATGTCCTTTGCTGTAGCACCATAGTTTTCAAAATTAAACAGGAATTTCCCCTTTCTGTAAAAGCAGTGAAACAGAGAGGTGTTGGGATACAAGGATAAATATAGATATGCAATTATATGCAATATTTATGTGCAGATTAAGTAGAGACTGACTCAAAGTAGCATATTGTTGGATATCCCCGGACATTGTATTCTTCTTTTATTTTTTCGAATTCAGATGAGTAGACATTCATCCCTGCAAGTACCTGCAATGACAGAATGAAAATCAGCTCTTCCAAAACTTGAAAACCCAACATTAATTGCAGGAAAATAATATTTGAAAAGAACCAGTAGTTGCTAGCAACTCCCACCTAAAAACCAAGGGAATCATCCCACTTACATATCTTCTGATTCATTCCTTAATGGGCTTATAGATGTTCAATAAAATTTTAGCTATTTTTACATGCTGTGGCTTGCTGCTGTATTTATGAAGAACAATGAATTGTGGCCTCAGAGAACATAATTGTAGAATCTGTGGTCCCTGAAAGTTACAATTCTCAGCAGCCCCAAACAGAGTTTTTGTGATAAAGGCAGCTGGGAGTTGTAGTTCAGCAACATCTAGAGATTATCCCCTATTCCACCACTTAATATGGTAGCAAACGTATGCAATAATGTGGAGAAACTGTCTAAATAATAAAGTATGCTACTGCATGCATAACTTGGAGATCAATTTAAAACAGACATCACACAATTAGTATTTCAGCTCTCCTCTTTTATTCTTGCCATAGTGTCAGTGCTAGCAATTAATCAGTAATTCCTGGGCAAATTATTATTTTAAAAGTCTGTTAAATGTCATTCTGTTAATATATTCCTTTCTATCAATCACAGTCATGTAAGTAAGTCTTAAGTTTACTGTGGTGCTAAGGACATAACAGAGGAAGTTTAATAAGTCCTACAGGTGATACTGCAAATTATACAGTAAAAGGTTCTCTGATAGCAATTTCCTTATGATGTAAGCATGTTGCTCACATCTGCCATCATGTCTAACATATTTAGAGTCCATAACTGTGTGAAAGACTTCTGAGAACATATATGATTTCATAGTGGTTGATGGTTGGAGATGACCAGGGACAATTGAAATCATATCATAAAGCTCTGTCAAAGCTTTGTACAACAAATCACAACCTCAACCACTAAGCTATTTTACAAGATTGCTACAAAGGCAATTGGGGGAGAATTTCATGTATATCATCCTGGATTAAATTAGTAGCATGAACAGTAAAATATATATTTTTATAATCTTGACCACATGTGGATTGTAAAGATCTCTAATCTTCTGAATATTTCTCTAAATATATGAGATAACTATGACACTGGGGGAAAAAACTTTTGCAGAAAATTAAATTTGCATTTTTTTCTTTTAATTTAATATTTTTTCTCTATTAGGTTTTTAAAGAGTCCCTTGGTTGTTGTGTCTCCTATGGCAAGTAAAGGTTTTGGGCAAGATAAATTGTTTACCAACAATCTAGAACAGGATAGTCAGGCCAGACTATGTAATAATTTGCATATTAATTTGCAAAAGCTAGATAAACCAAAGTGAGTAGAAACAATCTATTTTATTAACTTCATAGATGAAGAGAAACAGATCCTACCAAATCCCAGAAAAGCACATTATTTGCACACAATTCTACTAATTTTGTAGATATGACAAATGTTCAGGAAATATAGAGGAAATCTTAATGTAGACTGCATGAATATGTTACATTTCCAGATAAGAATGCCTTAAAAACATCTTGAGCAAGTGAAAATAACTTGGCATTCATATTTGTTGGAAATTGTATCACTAGGATATCTTTGGAACTTCAATAACAACTATACTAGTAGTAGCTGTTCAGGTATAAGGCACTTTTTTAATTTAAAAAAAAGGAGTAGATTCAGAATTTTCTCTTCACTCCTTGGCACAAGCAAAACTAAAAAGAGGCTCTTAGATCCCGAATTTGTAACTTGAGATCCTCTATGTGAAATAATATATCTTTCTGCTCCTCCAAAGCCCCAAGCACTTTTAAATGAAACTATAATGAGAACAGGACTGCTTCTCTCTGATCCAAGTAGTCTTGCTGCTTTATCCCACAGTGGCTAGTTGCTGAAGATACAACTGAAAGATTAACTTCTGATTAATACCAGTGAAGGCTTAAATCCCTTTAGCAGCATGGAATTAATCTATCTCCCCTACTTGTCCCTCATCCAAGAAGAGGATTTTCTCTTTCCACATAAAATGCTGCAGCAGAATTTAATGCCAGTTTCCCAAATGAAGGAACTGCTGAGGCCAAATGTGCTCAGAGCTGGTATGAAATGTTAAAGTAGATCATCCAAAGAAGGTCAGCTGTTACCCAGGAACCTTGAAAAATGTTTAAGAGCACACATAAGTCTTTTCTTTATCGACTATTCTGGATGCTCAACACCTACTTTAAACAATGTCAAATAGATTAATAGGAAAACTCCTACATCCACCATTTTCATCTCGCTAGTATAGACCACGAAAGTTGTTTTCACATATTTCCTTCCTTCCTTCCTTCCTTCCTTCCTTCTTCTTTCTTTCTTTACTTCCCTTTCTTTCTTTCTTTTTCTTTCTTTCCTTCCCTCCTTCCTTCCTTTCTCCCCACCCCCTCTCCCCTTCCCTCCCTCTCCTTTCTCTCTTCCCACCCATCATCGCTGCAGAGCTATCTTTTGAGGTCTTCATTTAAATTTTCAGTTCAGAAACAACAATGTATCAAGTTACCATGGGGGTAAAGGCACCCCCACCACCTCTTTTGACTAAATTCTATAGATCTCACAACCAGTTATAATCCCACAATTATTCTTATTAGTCTAAATACCAGAAGACTAGGTTTGTTTATTTACAGACCTGTTGCTGTTTTAAAAGCAACACCTTGTCAATCTCTCTCTCTCTCTCTCTCTCTCTCTCTCTCTCTCTCTCTCTCTCTCTCTCTCTCTCAGAAATTTAAGGACAAGGAAAAGCATAGTGTAGCAAATCACTGGGCAATTTTTGACATAGGTAATTCCGCTTTTAGGAGTAGCAAAAGAATGCTTCAGAAATCTCTGTTTTTATGAATTTTTCTCAGAGGAGAGTTTATATTTTTACGAGGAAGTGTTAAATTTTCAACTGGACATTTATATGCCAATGACTGGAAAAAAACTGTATTTTGCAAATCTTTGCCCTTTTATAACATTAGTACTGCCTCTAGTCTGCTGCTGAACAGTCCAGTTATCCATGTTTAATGAAATGTTACACATCAAAAAGGCTTCCTCGGAAAACTAATTTGAAGAAACCTGACTCAATTTCTTCCCAGGTGCTAATTATCTTTTGGTAAAGTGCCGTGGCAAGACAAAAATAGGAAAGGAGAAGCTGAACAGAATAAAATTTATTACAGACTGTGACTTTGTGCAAATTAAAAGGGAAAATATCCATGTTCTTATAGGTAAATGATAAATGTAAGATAGGACAACAATTATAGGCTTAAAACCTATAAAACCCATTGGGCTGATTTATAAAACTTATTATCTATAAAAGCAACAAAATATCCAATTGGTATCAAGGCTGTAATTGTAAGCACATACCCTATAAAAGAATTCTGACTTAGAAAAATAAAAGCAGAGATACTGAGTACTGTACTCAGATATGCCATTATATTCATTATCTACACATTTTCTAGTTGTCTCATCTTAAAACAGAACGGAATCAGTTAATTTTTGCATATATGGGAGGATTGTTGAATCCTTGAATTTTTCTCTATATTTAAAACAAAAATTAAATATGCACAAATATATCTGAATTTGCTCCACTTGCCTGGTTTTACCTGTGTAAAACCTCTTCATGCTTCACTTAGTCTTTCAAAATTTGAATGTTGCAACTTCCTTCAAAAAAGGCAAGCCTTTTTTTCTTTAGCAAATTATCTGATTTACTTTTCTTTTTCAGACAATTAAATTCTGCTTCAAGTACTGGTCTCAGTTATGTAGTACAGGTAGTTCCCAATTTATGACTATTTGTTTAGCAAAGATTCGAAATTAAGGCAACCTCCAAAAGAATGGTCTTATGACTTAAATTTACACTTACAACTATCACAATCCATCACAACACCTTCCATGGTCAGGTAATTGCAATTCGGGCATTTGGCAACCAGGTAATATTAACAGCCAGCTATGGCATCCTGTGGTCACATGATCACAATTTACAAAATGGCCACTGAGAAAGCTGAATTCACTTAATGATCTCCGTGACGTGACTTACAACCACTGTAAAAATGGATGTAAGATCAGATCCAGTCACATGATGACTCAACCTATAAGCACAAAAACTTAGAATTGAAACACCGGTCATAATAGTTGAGGAGTATCTACAATACAATTGAAGCAATACTATTATTTTACAATAGATTAGGAACTATTGTGCTAGCCACATAAATACAGAATGATCTGAATACAATTTCACACAGAGGAAGGTGATGATTTTTCCTGTTTTATTTTTTATTTTTATTTATTTGATTGGTTGGTTTATATACAGTCTTTCCTTGAGGAGCTCAATTTACATGCAGGTGAAACTCAAAACATTAGAATATCGTGCAAAAGTTCATTTATTTCAGTAATGCAACTTAAAAAGTGAAACTAATATATGAGATAAGACTCATTACATGCAAAGCAAGATACTCCAATATTGTTCTATGTACAGTCCTTGTTTTATTGATTGCATGTAATATTCTAATTTTCTGAGATGGTGGATTTGGGATCTTGGTAGAAAGAAAGAAAGAAAGAAAGAAAGAAAGAAAGAAAGAAAGAAAG